ATTGCACGCCTTGTCAAACCCCGGAGCTGGGAGGTGGCTGATGCGGACCTAGGACATATGGTAAGAATATATTTTTTGCAGCAAAAATTTCGACACACCTGTATATGAGTTCCAGCTGATCACATGATGTCGTAAGTAGTGAACGGTGACAACCTGTGAAAAGATTTATGACTCAAACAGAGATGCATACAATACGACGCGAGGTATTGGTTTCGTCTTCCGCGGCAGAGCGAATTTATAATCGAGGCCTCCTCAAACCATAAAACCTGATGCGCTCCATTTGTGGTTTTGCATTCAAAGTCTAGAGGTTTGAAATGGTTTCTGTGCTGTGTTCGGGAAAGGAGTAGAAATGATTGTCGTCGGATCCAGATCAAATGTGATGTTTGCATTAGTCACTGGCTTTCCACTGGAGTCATATGTACGTTTCTTTCCATGATGGGTTTTGTCAGTCTGCTAGATATATAGATCTACTGATGAAATCACTTTTTACAAACAGATGCTCGCTGGTGACACTTACGGGCTCTTCGGGCACCCCGGAAAAAGCTGTTTTGGATTAGTTTTTCATTCGAAAAGTGCTGTGAGAAGAGCCGAAACACCCCATTTCCAAATTACTGCTTCCAATTTAGGCTTCTAGAGCTGTATTGCAGAAACTTACTATCTTAATTCTTGACTCCAGATTTTAAAAAGTTCTATTTACTCAATGGAATGACCTTGGTTGCTATACAGAGAGGATTCAGAGTTAGGATGTTTCTGTAATACAGCTTGAACATTATCACAAAACTTCCAAAGCTCAGCCGCATTAACAGATGTAAGGCCAACAAGACCATCTATGATCTAACAGGAACCCATGTTTTGCCATCATCACAGCACGTACTGGCTCATTTTGAAAAGAAATGTGAAAAAAAACATGCAATGCTGATAAAATATGGCTTTTCATTTATTTTGAATGCTGTAAGTAACATGTTCAGTCTAAACCAGCGGTCTGGTTTTGATTGTATAAGTCTGGTCAATGTCAAATATTATTACTTATGTGGTGAAATGTGTATTTAAGCCATAAAGACGCATATTGCCTGTGCATGTTTGTTGCTTTTATTTTTTGCTTGTATATTCCATATTTCTTTGGCTTTAGAAATCTCATATACATGTGAGGTCATATACTCAACATTTGGGTACACTTCGGAGAGAGAAAAAAAACCTTATAATTATTTATAATTATAATTCTGTGCTGTATATTTATTATATTTTTTCTATATTATGTATTATGTATCTTCTGTAATTGGGATCGGTAAGATATAACACACACACACACACACACACACACACATATATATATATA